GACCTGTGCTTGTTGCAACGAAGGATGATATCCTGAACGGCTCGTCGATTTTTAATCTCGAACATATCGTTCGTTAATTCTCTGTCAAACACACACTTCACGCATTCTTCCATTCTCTCACTCTTTCTCTTTCTCTCTTTCTCTCTCTCTCTCTCTCTAAAACGCAAACGAATTCGTGTAAAGCCAGCACGTCGAGCTGATCGAAGACGAATCTACGATTGCGATTGGTTTTTTTTTCGTCGGCATGGCGCGTCACTGTGAACACACAACAAAAAAGCACAAAAGGCTGAGATCAGTTGGACACGCGGGCAGACACCAACCGTGTGTATGCGCGCGCGTGCGTGTGTATATGGCTTTTTGCCTTTCGTTTAACCCAGGTGATCTCGTGATATTTTCCTTCCTTCCCTCCCGCGCTCTCCTCTCTCTTCCTTACTTACTCTCCTCTCTCAATTTCTTTTTCTCACTCTCTAATTGCGTGAAGTCTGATTCGATGTCTCTCTCACTCTCTGTCGCCTTCTATGAATTTCGTTTCATCTGCACCAAGAGAAAAAGAAAGAAAAAAAGATCTAAGTGAATTTGAGCGGAGCTTGACTTGGATTGTATTCGAAGGGCAAACAGCCGACCACCCTGGCGGGAACCGTCGAACCGTACATCTTGTGCTCTGCGCAAAGAAAATTATCCATTTCCGCCGATAATTCGACGGGGAAGAAAATCATAATTCGATGATATGATAAAGGGGATAAATAGGGGATATTGAGCGAGGATGTTTGATTTCAATTCGTATCGAGTCGCGCCAAGATGGACGGTCCGCCGATCAAATTCGTGTGTCAGCCGGATCGTTAGGTGATGGAGAGTAGAAGAGACCAAGGAACAGACGACCGAATGTATTGTATTTGAATATGATAGTATTATAAGTGCCAGAACTGTGCGAACTGTGCTTGTAACAATGCGCTCGAAAGCGCGCGGCCGTCAGTGCTTTTTTTTTTTTTTTTTTTTTCGAATCGATCCTCTTTTCCAGGTCGCTTTGCACTTCTCTCGAAATACGATCTCGTGGCATATCGCGGTTCAATGAAATTTTACTCTTTCCTGTTTCGCTCAAACACGTTTCAGATGTACCGTAAAATATTCAATTGCGTGATTGACGAGTAGAATCGCGTAGGTTTCATAAGTCATTGGACACTTACATTGGAATTTTTTTTTTTTTTAGCAATCCTTTTTTCTCTCGTATATAATTTTATAAAATTAAAAAAAAATGAATTGTGTATAATTTTCTTTAAATTAAAGAAATTGGAAATTTGAATTTGTCCTGCGTTGGATTAAAATTATGAAAGTGAACTATCTATTACTATAATATATATTTCTATAATTTTATAACACTGTGAATTTCTTTATGTTATAATTGGTTAATTAATAATATAATCGCAATATTCATTTCATAATATATTTGAAATACGTGTCCAGTGACTCAGAGATAAGAGTATATCTGTAAAA